TTTTTTTTTTTTTGACCCCCATTTTTGGAGGTGCGCCGCATGCAGTGCGCGCGCGTGGTGCGGGATGCGCGGTGCGGCGCACGTGCGCAGTGCAGCGCATCGCGATGCGCCGCAAGTATGATAGTAACCCACAGGCCCACACAAAGTACGTTCTTCCAGCTGCTCCTGAGAGCGTCATCCAAAAAAAAAAAAAAAAAAAAAGAAGAAGAAGAAGAAGCACGTTCAACACATACTCGGGCACCCCAAGGTGGCCCCGGCGGCTCGGCCGGTGGCCTAGGGATTCGTCAAGTTCCATCCGGATGTGAATTCACATCTGCATTTCAACGCTTCATTCAGAAAAAAAAAAAAAAAAAGTACTTCATCGATTCATATCATTCATAAGCGTACCAAACAGCTTTTGCCTGAGGGTCACCACCTCAAAGTTCATCATTCAATCAAATTTGAAAAAAAGGGATAATTTGACAAAGTACGTCGGTAAGTTGATTGAATAGTGCGTACGTATTGGCATAGACTTAAAAGAAGTTAAGACAATATACCCACTGCTTAGCGCGCGCGTATTGGGATACACACTATACAACGCATTCTAAAGAGTACGTAAACCCACCAGCACATATCAGCCAGAGGCCGCCCGCGGTCCATTTATGTTACCGACGGTGCGCGCGAGCCTCCAAAATTTAAGGAGAGGCTCAATCAGACTCTCAACTTGGCTGGGGCCACGTACTGGTGCTTTAAACCACCAGTACATGGCCCCGGGCAACTGGAGAACCTGTTTTGAGCCTCTCCGGAAATATAGGAAGCCGAGCACCGTAGATAATATGAATCGGCGGCAGATGGCCTCCGAAAGGGGCCCACAGCCGATAGCTAGCATGTACTGGTGCTTTAACACAACCCTTAGCACTTGCTATGTACCCAGTTTGCAGTTATTGGCATGCATGGACCTGGACACCAGACTCACCAGGCAAGGACAACCAGATCCGGACCAGAGTGTACCCCACAGGGAAAAAAAAAAAAAAAAAAAAAAAAACACTTTGGCTGGAGCTATGTTACCAGAGTGGCCTGAGACCACTTGCCCGGGCAGGCCAAAACAAAAATGAATAAATTATATATATATATATCGTCAAATAGAATATATATAGGGTTCAGCCTCCTGATGAGTCGGTGAAACTCCGACGAAACAGTTTGTCACAGCCCCTCGTTTGTTGTCCTCTTCTCCCTCTCTGCCTACGGTTTACCGGGCAGTTCTATTTGACGATATATATACCGGGCAGTTCTATTTGACGATATATATATATATATCGTCAAATAGAACTGCCCGGTAAACCGTAGGCAGAGAGGGAGAAGAGGACAACAAACGAGGGGCTGTAATATATATATTTATTTATTTACTAGGCTACCAGAGTGGCCCGTGTCCACTTGCCCGGCCGGGCCAAAAAGAAATACAAAATAACGGGGAGTTTCCGTGTCGAATTTGGCTTTGTTGAGGGTCGAAGAGACGAATTTGTCAAGTTCGTGAAGAACAATTTGGTAAAGAATTTCGATGTGACCTTGAGGCAAAAGTTGTTCAGTTTATTTTTCTGCATAACTGTCATAACATAGTTTTTTGTCGGAACTTCTTTTATTTTTATTTTTTTTGGGGGGGGGGCTGGGACCTTCCCTGGTCCTTGCACAGCCGGGCTAACATAGTTTTTTTCCGATTTTTTGGATTTGTTTTTTTTTGGGGGGGGGGCGGGCTGGGACCTGCCCTGGTCCTTGCACAGCCGGGCCACCTGGGAAAATAGGGTGACCCGGGCGGCCCGGCTGGTAGCCTAGTTTATTTATTAATTTGGCAAAGAATTCCAATCCGACGCTGATGCAAAAGCTGTTCCGTTTATTTTTCTGCACTACCTAGTGTTTTCCAGATTTTTTGGAATTTGTTTTTTTTTTTTACAGGGACCTTCCCTGGCCCATGCGCGGCCAGGCTGCCCTGGCAACAAAAGTGACCTACCATCGTCACCTGAGTACGACATACGGTCATTATAGCTGTAGTTGGGGCAACATTCAGTCTAGATACAGCCATAACGGTAGGATAACACAGGATCAGTATTGATTTTATTTTGTCAAATTGGGCTCCGAAATTTGGACGCGGCCCTCAGACGAAAGTCGTTTGTTTTCCAATGCTGCACAACTTCCATAATTTCTTGATTTTTCTTGAAGATCCAAAATTTGAAAGAAACACAAAACCTGGTTTAATTTACTACTATAATATACAATATCTGTATACAAATTTTCTGAATTTTAGTTTAATTTACTACTATAATTCGTATAATATACAACATTTGTATGTACAATTTTAAATTTTTTGAATTTTATTCCGGACAGCGCCAAGAAACCAGTGACCAAAAAAAAAAAAAAAAAAAAGAAACCAGTGACTGCCACTAACTGACGACGGACCAGTTAGCCAGACTAAAGCACCCCCTTTAAACCCCTTTAGCCCCACACCCTTCTCAGCAGCCAAAGCTGGGAAAAAGAAAGGAGCTGGGAGTTGGGCTCCTCTGGAGACGCTCAGGAAACCTCAACCCAAAAATAAATAAATAAATAAATAAATAAATAAAAAGCGCTCGGTTTTGTTTGCATTGGGTTGCCAGGGTTGCACAGTTATGCAAGCCAAGTAGCCTTAGAAAAAAAAGAAAAAAAAATTCTTAAATTAGAAAAAGGACAAGAAAATAACAAAAATTAAATAAACAAATAGAAAATCCGATAATCTGAAGAAAAAAAAAAATGATCACTCACCATGCCAGGCATGTAGTCGGATCCATCCAGTGCTCTAGACCATAGTTTGTTCTTATCCAGGTTCGCCACCTGCTGTGCATCAAATCTATTATCAACACATAATAATAAAAAAAGGACAAGAAAATAACAAAAAAAAAAGGATCATTCCAGTCGATACAAGCAGTGAACAAAAGAAAAAAAGGACAACAAAAAAAAAAACAAATCAGTAGCCATAAAAAAAAGTGGATCATTCGAGTCAGTGCAAGGAGTGAAAAAAAGGAGGACAAGGAAAAAAACAAAATTCAGTAGCCACCTAGGCTACCAGAGTGGCCCGGGGTCACTTGCCCGGCCGGGCCGAAAACAATTAAAAAATAGAAATAAAAATAAAAAAATTAAAATGTTATTTTTAATTCTAAATTTGGTGCAGAATTTCGATGTGACCCTGAGGCCAAAGTTGTTCAGTTTATTTTTCTGCATAACATAGTTTTTTTTCGGGTTTTTTGGATTTTTTTTTCTTTTTTTTTTGGCTGGGACCTTCCCTATAGAAATAAAAATAAAAAAAATAAAATGTTATTTTTAATTCTAAATTTGGTGCAGAATTTCGATGTGACCCTGAGGCCAAAGTTGTTCAGTTTATTTTTCTGCATAACATATTTTTTTTCGGGTTTTTTGGATTTTTTTTTCTTTTTTTTTTGGCTGGGACCTTCCCTGGTCCTTGCACGGGCTGGCCACCTGGGACCCGGGCGGCCCGGCTGGTAGCCTAGGTAGCCACAAAAAAAAGTGGATCATTCGAGTCGATGCATGGAGTGAGCAACAGAAAAGAGGACAAGAAAAAAAAAAAAAAAATCACTAGTTAGATCCATCCAATGCTTTGGACCATAGTATGCAGTATGTACTATACAATGTTATGAACCCAGCAATCATAAGAAACGTCAATAATCTCTAATACCCTAAAGGAAAACGCGGGTCTCGCGTGACGGGCCCACGCGAGACACACCGGTGGTGGAGTCAAGGTCCCAGATGTGAGAAAAGCGGTAACGGTGTCGCGGTACGACCTGAGCGGCGCAGCGGTTTGGGGGCAGGCCGACGGGCGGTCCCCGGCGCGGTTTTTGTTAAGGGCCGGTTTTTTTTTTCGGTTGGTGTTGGCGAGGCTTTGTGGGCCCGGCGGGGTTTTCTGTTTTTGGGGGGGGCGGTTGGTGTCGGCGCGAACGGCCTCTTTTTTCGCTACCGTTTTTTTTCACGCCGCGCGGGGGGCGTTGGTTTTTTGCGCCTCGCCCAGGTAGTGTCTGTTTCCATGTTCTAGCCGAAGATTCATTGGATGTTGCTCATCCTATCGATGGAAGTAGCATGCCGCGAGCCGCAAGGTCGCAGAGTTATCGTCTCTCTCTCTCTCTCTCTCTCTCTCTCTCTCTCTCTCTCTCTCTCTCTCTCTCTCTCTCTCTGTGTCTGTCTCTCTCT